CCAAACCACAAAACAACCTTCCAAAAATGCTCGAGAAACACCAACTTTGAAAATAATTGTAAATCATTCACTCCTGCACCACACCTGCACAGAATGTTTTTGCGTAGTCCCAACCCGGTTCAGTTACACAGCTGCATAGACATAGACCTAGTGCCGTGCAATTTTACTGTTTGCCTCCCTTTTTGTGCTAATATGTAGGCACAGAGCCTGGTAACATAAGCGCTTAAATTCCTGTACATTTTGAACTGAAATGTCTCTTACTGTTTGAGTCAGCTCTGGCAAGGACAAATTGGTTCTGTTATGGTTAATGAGTAAGCTTTATTTATTTGTTTACTTTTGAATAAGAGCCCGTATTTCAGATACAAAGTGCACTGATACAGACGATAAGGTTCTGTATGAGATTCAATCTGTGATTACGGGCCAGAACTTGCTGACAAGCCACTTTCTTAAAGCGTACCGGGAAGCTGACCATGCGTATCAGGTGTTTGTGCGCTTCACTACAAAGGAGTGCGAGCTAGCCGCCAACGGCCGGTTCTTTGAGGAGCTAAAGAAAATCTTGAATAACATCATCTCTGATCTGACGTGTCACATTGTCGAGTCCTCCTACAAGTGCCGTCACGTCGGGATACCAAAGCAAGGCCTCCTGCATGAACTGTTTGTTCGTTTTCAAGGTAACAGAGTTCTGTGTTTGTTTGGGAGGGATCATTTATTTTTATAAACAACCTGAGAGTAGGATAAACACCACCTGAAATACATCAAAGTCGAGCATGCCTGCAGAAGCTGTTTCCCTGCTCTTTCGGAGTCCCTGTATGTTTTCTCACTAGCCCACAGATGGAGCTAAAATGCAGTTTATATGTTGAATTTGTAGCATTGTGCTTCCTACAACCGTAGCAGTGGTGTCACTTCTCAGGGTGTGCAGCTTGGAGGGATTGTTGGAAGCAGACAGCTGAGAAGATGCCATGATTTTTTTTTTTTAAAAGGAAAATGGTCATATTTGTTTTTCCTTATTTGATTTTTAATGAGTCTGTGACCTCTGTGGTTTTGCTTTGTTCTGGGAAACTGCACAGAGGTTAAAAGGTTCCCTGATGGTGACACTGCTGTGGCTGCATTGCCTTGTGAAACAGGTTAAATCACCCCGATGGCTGCCCTAATTTAGAGAGGTTTTATCACCGAGGAAAGGAAATTATTCACTAATGCTTTGACCACATTCTCTCCTGTATCTGTTCTCGTGGTGTGCCCAGAGGGACCACCCAGCAGGTTATGGAACAGTTTTGTGGCCATTTTCCCCCCCATAAGGTCAGGAAACATTCAGAACAAACGGAGGACCCAAAGGTTTCAAGCTGACGTAGAACTTTAGTCCTTTCTGCAACCCGAGGGTGCCACCTGAGAATTTAGTTCCATTCTTCCTGGCAGCTCATATGTTTCCCCCCGTTATTTCATTGCTTGACCTCTGACTCTCAGTGGAATGGAGAGGTTTAAGTGACTGGATAGAAACCACCAGGACCGAATCTGGGTTTTCCCCTTGTATCAGTCGCTCGTTTTCAACGCTCAGATGCACCCAACCAAAAGAACTGTTTCAAAACACAATCTTGACTGCAGACAGTGGTGGGGGGAAGAAAAAAAAAATCACCTTTCTTCACAAATTAGAGGCAAACCGAAGTGAGTATGGCAGGATGAGGTGAGCACCGTGAGATGCTAAAAGCAGTAATGCGTTTTATTTGCCGGTGTTTTCTGAAATGGACCTGAAGGGACTTGCTTGAGGTGTTTGGGTTCGCTGTAACAGATTCTTCAACACCTGCACATGTGTCTTTTCCTCCCCACCCACAGTCAATCCTTTCGCACCAGGATGGGAAGAAGTTTGCCACCAGGTTCCATACGATTGTGAAGATGTGACAAACAGGAGAGTTGAAGAGGTTCTGTGTCCACTGCCCTTGGGCCTTCTCTGCATATTTAACACAAATCTCTGCCTTAGCATCTGCAGATGTGACTGGTAGTAATCCAGCTTCACCCAGATTTTATGGGATTAATATAATCGTAAATGACGATTTGTGGATTTCAGATAATTCCTTTCAGGGTGGAAAACGGTTTTTAAAAGTCAAATTGATTTAAACCATTAAAAAAAAATAATCAGGCTCATTATTTCCTTTGTGTTTACTTCTAAGAATGAAGAATTATAAACATTAGCATTTATATTGGTATACTGAACTTCCAGTTCTCTAAACTAAATCTTTGATTTATGATTTGGTGAATGGAATACAATTTAAAGTAAGTCTACTGTAGCTGGTTTCCAAAATCTGTTCTCCCTGGCTTCTTAATGTTAATACATGATTACTGCACACTGGGTCTGACTCCAGGCCCCCTGCAGCCAACGGACAACTCCCAGTTTAGGTGACGGATCAGGGGGGGGGAATCAGGACTAGAAAGTATTTACCGGTATTTTTAAATCAAGAAAAACAACCTGACTAATTCTTCGTGCGTGTCTGAATTTTAGGCAAGAGGTCGAATTGGAGAGTTTTTCAATAAGCAGACGTACGCTCTGAAGCACGAGTTTCGAACTGTTCCTGCAATACACTACGTGGAGAACAGCTTCTCGCTTACTCACATTGACAGCTGTCGCCCGGGTTTTGGGAAGAACCACATCGCCCACAGGAGCTGCGCTGGCTGCTGCGGTAAATACAAAATACAGCGGGTTAAGCACAGCTTGCTAGCTCTGGGCACAGGTTTCTCTGAAGAGTACTCGCTAAGTAGCAGTGTCAAAAGCAGTGACGTTTCCGTTCGTCTTCTGGAGAGATGTTCACATCGCAGATTTAAAAAAACTAACAGGAACGGGAAACGAGCTGTCAGTGTTGGTTAGCGCGCTCGTAGGTGGAACTGTGTTTCCAAACGGAGTAAGTGGAAGCAGTGAAGTGGGTTTTGTCCTTCCACGTCACTGGTGAGTGACTGTGCTCGGGATACAGAGCAAATAAACACTCACAGCAATGGTAGTGCTGCTAGAAACTGCTCAGCTGGTTTAGAAGCTCTTCTGCCAGCAGCACCTACTGCTGGGTCCGGAGCTCGGGGTGTTTCGCGAGCTCGGGAAGGCCGAGGTCTCGCTGACAGCGTGGGGAAGGCGTGCGGTGCTGTCGGGTGGGCCCAGCCCCGGCTGAAACGCCGACTGTGTTCTCTTCACAGTGGTTTGTGATCCCGGAACTTACAGTCCTAACGACGACGTGACCTGCCAGGTTTGTGCGAGGCCTCGAGTCAAAAAGTACGGAGCAAGATCTTGCTAATAAACTTATGACAGAAATTGGAAAACCAAAGAGCAGCTGTGAAAGTAGTTTTACTGGTTTTGGGATGTTCTTTTCATTTTTAGCTGCCAGTTCTGGAATCCTGCATTCCTCGAACAGAACATCATCATTCATGCAACCCTAGATTTTCTGTATTCAGGGACCGCTGAGACTGTAAAAATGATGAATAAAATGAAGTGTTCGCACCAGGTAAACTAACTCAAGGAAAAAAAAAGGAGGTTTGCCATGTGGCTGCTAGTGTCAAGAGTCTGTTTCTTGGTGGTGACACCAGACACACCACAGCTTCGGGCTGCAGTTTGCCCAGAGAACTTAAGGAGCTATAAACCACCCAAGGGTCGACGGCAGGCAGTTGTAGTGGAATTGTGTGCCATAATGACGTACGCCAGAATCTCTATGAGCAATTTCTAGCAGATATTAATAGAAGTATCTAGTCTTCATGATTTAAAAACATTAAATGCCCTTCCCTTCGTTTTTCCCCGGTTTCTTTCTCCATCACCGAAGTGTTCCAGCCTGCTCCGTGCAACGCAGCACTGAGCAGACACCGACCCGAACCACCCCCAAAAGCCAAGAGAGATGGTTCGTGACAAACTCCACCGCCCAGCAGTCAGGAGAATGAAGGACCCAGCTCTCATGGCTCCCTTCGTGTCTGCTGC